TGTTCCATGTTAGATAATACTCTGTGTCTTCCTTTTCTTTTATCTCTTTTGTTAATTTGTCCATCTCAGCACAGTCCAGGATTTTTCTTATCACTTCTTCCTCTGATGGTATATTCTCATTTTTCCAGAACTGTGCGTATGCTATTCTTGCTGCCGTTGTTATATGTAAAATTAAGTACCGTATTTCTTTACTATATTTTCTGTTTAAAATACCCAGCAAAAAGATCTTTGGTTTCCAGTCTACGGGTTGGTCTATTATTTCTTCGATCCATCTTCTTATTTTAGTCCAGTATTTTTTTGCAACTGGGCATGTCCACCATAAATGATAATATGTTCCATGTTTCTTTTTTACAAGTTTAATTAGAAATACTTTTATTCTATTTGTTGGCTTCGCCCTTCACTTAATTTAAACTGAAAAACTGTAAAAAAAAAAAAAAAAGTAGGGCTATCATATAACTAAAGAGACATGTGTTGTTTTTGAAATGCAGATAGACTGGGATCTATGACCGTAATGTCCATTATGGTTGTATTTTGTGATAGTCATTAAGTGAGATTGCTTCACTTAATGACCCTCACCCCCCCGCTCTCCCTGATAAAGTCATTTAAACAACCACAGGGTTATTAAGCAGAGCACATGGTAGGGGAGGCCTAGCGTAGACCTAGGCCCATCTGTCCCAGACCTCCCAAGGCTTCTTCCACCCCCTAAGACACCCTATACTCCACCTCCTGCCCTTGGGGTCTCCACAGTCTTTGAGCCTGCTTTCCCACCACCACCGGGTCCCTATAGTCCTTTTCCACCACCACTAGGGCCCCACAGGCCTTCTTTCTCCCCAGAAGGACCCTGCAGGCCTTGGGCCTGATTCCTACTCTGGAGTTTTCCACTGTGCTGCAAAAACTGTGGTAGGAAAGCAGAATGGATCGCTCATTATGGACTGCATAGCTGTATCACAAAAGCAGCTGCCATTTTGGTGCAGCTGCAAGGAACTATGGCTGCTCTGAAAGTGGCAGACACCTTTAAGACCCAGCTGTGCGGCCAGGCATACTTAGGGACTGAATGGCTTGCCCTCTTTCCCCAGTGTACAGTTTGGAACTCTGGAGATCTTCAAAGGATAAGTGCTCAATGGGTGGTGAAGAGGAGACTCAAGTCCTGGGAAGACCTGGAGGAGTGGGGAGGAGGCCTAAGACCTGTGGGGACCTGGTAGGGTGGAATGGAGGGGGGTAGTTGAATGTTTATGTGTAATGATGTGTGGGAAATGGTTTGGGAGATTGGAGGGAGAGATGCAGACTAGGGAATGGTCATTGCAGCTGAAACTGCAGAAGAAATGGGAATATGGCAAATCCCTCGGAGGGGACCCCCCCCCAGTTTTTGGACTGTAACTGTGAGGGGGGGAGAAATGTACTTTCAGACTTGCAAGTTTCTATTAATGTAACCTTAAAATAAAGATAGAGCAAGGTAGAGTGTGCCTGTCAAGGCTGCCATCAATCTAGCAAGTCCGAAAGTACTCTCAAGTCCACTTTTCTGTTACAAATGAAGGGCACAAAATCACCATGTTCAAATACCTTATCAGTTATAAAGGCAGCTGTAATCACAAACCATAACTAGGCAGAAGTGTCAAGCTTGGCTTAGTATGGCAATTATGATTGTGTCTCTCCCAAGGGTAGCATGTAAGAAAAAGGGAATGAAAAGGGAAAAACAAAGTGAAGGAAAAAGAATAAGATGAGGACAAACAAATGGAAGGTATCTTGGGAGGTTATAAGGAGGAGAGTTGCCTCCACGAGGAAAAATGTTTCGGTTTAGAATGAGTCAGTTGACTGGGTAGCCCTTCAGTTTATTGTGTATACAGTCTTGTTTATGCAGAGCCTTGTGTTCCATTAAGGAACATGGAAAAGAAAACAAACAGAAATGGGAGCAGCTTTTGAAACCCAGAATTTTGCTCTAGAAGACAGCAAACACATCTCTGTTCAGATAGCTTATATTTTTCCTACATTCAAAATATTATACATTGCTTTTGTTGCTCACACTTATATTGTACGCAAGCCCAGCAGTTATTGCCATGTGTCCACTGAACAGAAATTATGTCATGAATAATTATTGTCATTGAAGTATCTTCTAGGTAGAATGGACTCCACTCTAAATCCCACCCAGGTTTGTTATAATAATGTAAGAGAGAATGTACTGCGAGGGACTTTCAGCACCAATACTTCTGTATTATTGCTATTGTAAATATTAGATTAGATCTATCCTGACTGTAGAAGTAGTCCTCAACTTATGACCACAATTAGAACCAGAATTTCTTATGGCAGTTGTTAAGTGAATCACCACAGTCATTAAGTGAATCATGTGATGGTTAAGCAAATCCAGCTTCCCCAATGGGTTCAATTTTAAGTCTAGAATATGGTGATGCAGTTTGCTGGTAAGATTCACTACTTAGAAAATATGTAATTTCCTTAAAAGAATTGAAAGAGAGATGCATTTATTTAGTTTGTTTCATTGTATGTTGCACCAATGCTTAACTATGCTTTTCAAATAATTAAACGTGTTAAAAGACATTTGCAAACTGTACTTTCATGGTTTGCATCTATATGCAAAACTCAAAAAGTTATACTATCCACCAATTTTATTACTAATATTAATCTTGAGCATTTCAGTTAACTCATAGGAAACAGCAGCTGCAAAGGGAAGCCACGCAATCTCCGAAAAAGACACAGTTGCTTTCACAAGTTACAGACAGATACTGTTTGTGTTCCTTTGATCTGAATCACTGTACAGCTCAAGAAGGCAGTTTCTTGTGATCCTAACTCAGAAATAGCTCAGAAGTGGAAGATGGAAGTAAATGTCCTACTTCTGAAAATGTATTATTTGAGGATAGTTTCATTTCACTTAATCACCCTGCTTGAAATGAAAGGTTACTCATAAAATGGCATTGGATTGAGGTGAAAATATCAGTGACGTACGAAGCAAACTATCTACAGAATTAATCAACTCATCAAATTTAACCACATAAGGAAAGACACATACATATATAACTGTCACAGCTTCAGGTTGTTTTTTTTTTAAAGAAGCCTGAGGTTACCAATATGCAGAGTCTAGACTGTTATGTCAATGTGTCATTGAAGAATAGTAAACATCCAAAAAAAGTTGAGCATGAGGAAAGTTTTATTGAGTAAGGATAATTAATAGCTCCATAAATTGGCGTTGATGTGTAATGGTCCTGTTAAGCACCTGGGTAACAGTGACCTTTGAAGACAGGCCAAAACCTGCAGTTCTTAAAAGGTAATTAAAATAAGAAGGCCTCTGTTTGAAACTCAACAGATTGGGGAAAAAAGGTCTGTTTATTCAACCTGAATTTAAAGAAATATATCTGACTAGTTGGAAAAAAACAACTAAAGAGTTGGATAGTAACTGTAAGAAAAAAGGTTTTTTGAGAGTATACCTAAAGCTTTTTTATTACTTGATGTGACGTATATCTGTGAGAAGGAGGAAAATTATTTTTGTCTCACAGTGTACTTATTAAACCAGCAAAACCAACTCTTTTACTAATTACATAAAATGTTATTACACAGTCAGTGCTAGAAAAATAAAAAAAGCTTCAGGATTCTTTCCAACAGCCCTAAATAGAATTTTAGAAAAAGAAATTTCAGATTGTGTTGGAAATACTGTAATCAGTTGCAAAGTACTTGTCTCATGAATGCTGTAAATATAAAGTCAGGATATATTGGTTAAAAATAGTAAGTAGGGTTGATATTTATAAAAAAGCAAATGAACACTCTTCTTTCAAACCTAGAGCTAATTTTTCCTTTCTTGAGAGCCTTGTGGTCTAGAAATGTGGGATGGAAATTCCAGAAATAAATGATTTCTGTGTTAGCAGCACATCTATCTTGCTTAGGTAGACTGGGCGCTGTTTTTTCTAGATCATCTGTTTGCTGACCTTATTTACTCTTACAGAGGTTTGCTGCAGTAAAAATTGTGTTTATAGACATGCACACACACACACACACACACACACACACACCATCTTGGAGGGCAAAAAAAAGTAAACTATAGAACCCCTTAACTTCCTGGCTAGCTGAAGACTGTATTTGACGGATGTTTTAAGAGTGGATATTACAGTAGTTCAAATGGCAAGACTGAAGAAAACCAATCAAATCCCAATAAATCTGGAAACATAGTGGTGACTTTCATTCTGCTCCACCCCATAGAGTGAGAATTAAATATGGGGAAATGAAGCCATTTTTTTGCTCCTACAAGAAAGAATATAAATGTAATATGTTTCTTAAAAATTGTCTCTATGTAAGTGCATGTTAAAGTAATTTACAGTCACAATCAATACAATGATACAATGAAAACAAAAGTAATAGGCTATGCACTCGTAGAAAATGTTTTGTGAAAAAGTATTTTGAATCTTATATGAGCATAGAACCTCTCTACTATTAAACAATGTCCTTTTCAGGGTTCAATGTGAGTCCCCCCCCCAAAAAAGGCTAATTCCTTAAAAGCAGCCAGATCTTTTTCTGGTTCACATGGAATCCTAAAAGGTGATGCTACTTTAATGAATAGCAGAAAGTGGCTATGCTTACTTCAGTCCAAACCATTTATAAAGTTGCTGTTTTCTATTAAAAAAGCATAGATGCCTCCAGGAAGGCTGCAGGGTATAGGGAAAAGATAATGTGTATCATAACATCACCAGGCAAATAATTCACTATATTGTGGTATCATTGATTTGTGTCATTTGCACAATGACATTATGATGCATTATCATTTTGACTTTTGTTACAGACTCAACTGCTAATAAACAGTGAGTGCCCATTTGATGTAGTGGTTAAGGTGCTGGACTAAAAACTGGGAAGGCATGAGTTCTTGTCTTCCCTTATAACATGGAAGCCAGCTAAGGAATTTCAGGCCAGTTACTTTCTTAATCCAGCCCATTTAATAGAGAGAATAGGAGAAGTGAGCATTATTAATGCTGCCTTATATTGAAGTTTTACCAGGAGTTTACCAAATTCAGAGACTTTATTCATGGAACATAGTTTGGATACATACCACTGAAATGCTAGTGTGAAGCTTAAGAGAACTCCAGATCAAGAGAATAACAGATTTGTCCATTTTGCATTTTTATTTATTTTCTTTTTTTATTCTTTTTCTTTTTTATTTTATAAAATAAATTGCTTATGAAGAGGTCAAATTTTGGAGTCCTTGATCCTCTCTCAACTTGGTGGTTTTCTTGCAGATGTTTCATTATCAAACTAGGTAATATCACCAATGCAGATGATATTACAGATCAATCCTGAACTTCAAATATTCTACCATTTAAACTTTCTTATTGTGCTAATGGCTAAATCTCATCCTACCTTTGCTGGGGAAACTGTACAGCCCTATTTTCCATATTTTTAAAAAATAAACCTAAGTGCAACATCCAGATTGGAATGTAAATCTGGGACAATCCCAGTCAAATTGGAATGCCTGGTAACCCTGTTTCTCTTTCTCTATTCCTCTCTCTTACCCCATATACATTTTTCTAACCATTTTGTACTATATTACTTTTTTCTTTTTGCAATCAATCTTAATATAAAAATGTATTTGCAAGGATACTTGATATGTACCTTTTTTTACTGTAAAATGAACACATTAATTGGTTAAAGAGCAGCACACTAGCCTAGGAGATGCACAGTGGTCTAGAGGTGAAGATGCTCGCCTCCTACTTGAAAGGTTGAGAGTTTTCAAAATTAGGTAGCGACAGATGTTTCTCTATCAGGGTGCAAAGAGAAAAAATATCTGCTGCAAATGCCACATAGGCATCAGGAAGGGTATCCAGCCAGTAAACGCTCAGCTCCACTCAGTCGACCTGATTCCATCCCGTTAAAAAGGATTACAGGGTTGTAAAAAGAAAAAAAAATGATTTAGAAAATACCTGAAAAAAAAGTATATGGCCAGTTTAAAGACATGAAAATTAATGGCTCATTTTGGTATTAGTTCAAAATTGATAAATTGAGGAAATCTGCATTAAAACGAACAGAGTACGTAGGGGTTTTTTTTTTAGTGCGGTAGATACATTATTTACACATTAGTAATTTAAATCCTATTAAGATATTAACAATCCCTCTAGATTTTCATTGCTGTAATCTATCTTCTATATAAATAAAAATGTAAATGTTCGTTTGTTCAAAATCTTAAATCTCCGAAAGTTCTTCACCGATTGCTTTGAAATTTTGACACAACGTTGCATTCGAATACGCGCGTATTTTTATATACCTACTATTATATAGATGTCACACCTGTGACAGGTAAAAAT